ATAGAGGGAAAGTTGTTTTGGTTTTTTGTAGGACTCACTAAGCAGAAGAGACATGTTTAATCTCCCCCACTCTGATCTCTAAAGGCTTTCAACAAGGTTCAGAGATTCCTCAGAGTTTCTGCAATGGGAGGAGGGAGAAGGTCCTTTCATGAACAAGTAATGGCTTGAAAAATCAAAACCAAAAGATAGGAATAGCAGTTTTCAGAGTGAAGAGAGTTTAACAGTGGAGTCCTAAATATCTCCACCTAGGGCCTTGCATGTTTGTGTTAATAACCTCAGAAAGGTGATCATTCCAGAGCTCACCCTGCATGCTGACAATATCGAGTCATTCAGCACAGCAAAAATAAAAGCAGGTAGTATGAGATTCAATTTTCAAATCATACAGGGCAGCATAAAAGAAAGTCCCAAGCAGTCTGCTGAACTTGCAGATAAGAATAAAACCTTCGAGTACAGTTTGGCAGTGGATACTGGTGAAGCAAGGCCAAGGGCCTGTCATGCTATTAGCACCACAAGCCAGTAAAATGGAGGCAGAGAAGGAGATGTTGCTGACTGCGGAGCATCACGTTCCACTGGGCTAAGCAAGAGCCAAAAACAAATAAAAGAATACCTGAAAGGACAATAATGCACCTGAAACAACCTTCAAATGACAAACAGTAAAGTACATTTCAGTAAAGCAGAAAAAAGGGAGAAAAAGGTCACAAAAGAACCTAAATCTGAAATGTGACAGTATATTAAACCTGAAAAATTGCTCCTCTGACTTCATCCTAAATAGATTTGGCTACTAGTCTTTAAATTCCACTGAACTTAACAAGAGAAGGAATGAGAGCTGTAATCCTAAAATAGCAAAGCCCTGGACTCAAATGGCAAAAAAAGAATTTCATCCTTTTACTCTGAGTCATTAGCACATGGCTCCAGGACAGCAACCTCGGTGTTCATGTCTTACCTGTCCCAGAAAGGACCTGGCCAGGCTAATACAGGGCTGGTTGAAAAAATCTGCTTCTAGCTGGGAAGAATTTTTTTTCTCTGTCACAAAATATTTGCTGCTTTTTGGAGAAGACTCCCCATCAGGTGTAGCATTGAGGTTCTTCAAGGCATCAAAAGGAGGCAAGCTGGAGTTGCTTTGGAGAGCACTTAATTGAGCCAACAGCTTTCTTTTTCTTGGCATAGCTCTAGAGAATTGATATAAACACAATTAGGAATATAAAGCTTATTTAAAAGTAACTCATCTGCACAAATTCTTTATTTTTACAGATCTCTCCACAACAGTGATTCTGAAAGTTATAACTGCTTGGACAACCTAGGCAAACTACAGAGGCAGGTGACAGATTTAGCTGTGTCTACATCAGGCTGGGCAAATATTGGCCTCTACTGATAAGCACATAGAAAACTGCAGTTTGAGTATGTGCTTTTTAGGGACTGCAGATAAAAAGCAACTCTGCTCTACTCAGCAGTAAAAATAAGTTTGCTAACTATTAGGTTAGGAAATTCAGAAATTGAAAACAAAGATGAACCAGTATCATATACTTCTTACTTAGAACTAATGTAATCTGCTAAGCAGACAGAAAAAAGTAGGAAAGAACTACCTCAAAAGTTGTGCTGACTCCGAAAGGCCACAGAAGTCATGTATCAATCATTTTAAACAGCAATATACCCCGATCAGAACCTACAACTCCACAGAACACGGGACATTTGAGTTGGGAGATACCCTATTTACACTCACAGTGACAAACTCATTTATCATCCTGTAGAAATGTTTGTTAGAACATGTTTTGTTAGAACCTCCACTAAATAAGTTCTAAATTCAACCTACCAGAAAGATGAAGAGCAGTCTGTTCCAGTCGACAGTGTGTATTTGAGGCAACCACGTAACCTGAGATTGTTCTTCTAGGTTTGTCACCAATTTACTAGGTGAGCTTCAAAAAGTTAACGTTTCTTTTTCGGTGCCACAGTCCTTATACCTGTTGAACAGGAACACACTTATTTATTCACTGTATACAGCACTCTGAAATAGGCTAAGAGAATTTGGAGCTGGAGATCATGATACCAACAGTGCATCATTACCTCAAACTCAAGAACAATCTGCAGTTTTCTATTGATCTAGCAAAAAAACCATCTCCCAGCTGGGGCATTGCTGGAGATGCTCTTTAGCCTTTTTTATACAAAAGCCTATGAAAACAGTGGGGAATGCACTTTTCCTATAGTGAATGCACAAAAAGCTGAAACTAAGCTTTGAAAATTCCCCCATTAGCACTATATTTGGAAAGTCTCAGCCTCCAAAAAGCACTCTCACAAGAGAATGCAAAGACACCAGGTTTCAGAAGATGCCTCATCAGTACTGAAATTCAACCACATGTAGATATAAGGGAAAAAAGTAAAGATTCAACATGATACATAATTAGAAATGGAGAAAGAATTCTATATACAGCTGAATCTGTAAAGAGAATTATATACATAATTAAGTAGCTGTTGCCACTCATTTTTCACCAGATCATCAGCTTTTAAAAATGACTACAACAACCTTCACCGTTCAAAACAATCTTTATCTTGCTCTGATGGTTCTCACAAAGAAAGATCCACCAGCAATAGCTTCCTTGAACTACACTGAAACAAACTCTGGATCACCAGTGCCAACTCTCCAACATTTACTCCAGCATACACTCCAAGTGTTACATTTCACTTCAGAAGAATTCAGACACAAACATATAAAAATAGGCAGCAAAAAACCCCCCAAAAACCAAACACATTGGTGTGACTGGCAGGGAGGTGAGATGGTTTTATTGTTTTTTCTAAACATCTAATTCTTTATTGCAATAATTCAGTGATGTCAGGCGTGCTGTAGCACGGCCAGCTCCATCCCAGGTATTCTGCTCTGAACTGCAGCTTTCTCCCAGTGGGAATTCTTGAAAATTTTGTCAGAAGTCACCAGTCTGGCTCAGACAAAATTGCCTGGTGGCCTTTGAAAATGAGATTCCTGTCTAGGAGAAAGGGTGTGAATAGGAAAAAGGGTCACAAGAAGGAAGGGACGGAGGAGGAACGCTTCCCCTCATCAGACTGACCCTCTAAAAGACTCAGTCAAGGGAATGCTTCACACCACCTCCAGATTTCTCTGCCAGTATTAACTGGAACTTCCAGTTCATCAGCCATACATAAAGACATGCTGAAAACACGGCAAATTCGAGTGGAGCATTAACTCCTTTGGTAATTTGTGCGCTTATGGAATGTGACAGCAGAAACAGGATCTGAGGGGCCTGGCACTTGCTGCCTTTCCAATTAAGTAATTCTTAAAAGCTGCAAGTGCTCTCATGTAAATGTTACACCGGCAGCCTTAGGGCACTTGTAATGTCACTGCTACGGGCTAATGCCAGACAGACCTCAGCCCTTTCAGCTTTCATTAGATACAGCAGTAGGACACTGCCTTACAGCCACAAGAAATGGGTCACCAAAGAATGTGATTGCTTTCAAACCAAAATGCAGAATGAGGGGACTGCAATATCATCTCAGCAATCCAGAAAAACACCAGTCTGCCTTTTGTCTCCCTGCTTGTTCATACCAAGATATGAAACATAAAACTCCTTGCCTTAAAGCCTGTCTACACTTTCTATAAAGGGTGTTGCTTGCAGACTAAATTTCTTCTTGCCTATGAAAAAGAACACTGTAGAAGACAGTGCCTATCAAGTACCCAAGCCCTCTGTACCTGGGAAGTATGAGACATCATCTCTTCACATGTAAGTCTACAGGCAAATTCTGCAACTTTTCCTTTCTATCTAGATTTTCTTGCTTGTATAGTAAACAAATTCTACTTCTGTGTCTCACACAAGAATCAGCTGTGGGTTTAATCACTTTTTACTAATCCTGTTGTAAACTACCTACCTATAACTCGTTAAGCACGTGTGTGTACACATGCACAAAACCAGTGTGGAAGTCAGAAAAGGAAGATCAAGAGCTAAGTAAGTCTGCACAAGTGCCTAAAGTGCTCAGGGCTGCTGGGCCAGTCTCACACAAGTGTTTACAGACCCTGCAAGCCAGAACCAGAATGATTCTCAAAATCTGTGTCTCCCTGTATCCTGATCTCCAGTACAGGTCAAAAGCAGGAACCTGGGGAAGAACAGAACAAGCACACAGTGCTGCTCCACACATCCTCCATGTCTCTAGACCAGAACCTTCTGAACCAGGCACAGCTTCTGTCTACTTAGTAACTGTGAGCTTATGCAGTCTTCCCTGCGCCTGTGCGAAACTATCCAAACTGAGATTTACTGATGAAGAAAGCTTCACAGAATTAGTCACTGAGCTCCAAAACCTCATTCATTTTGTGCATGAAATTAGGACTGTTCCTCAACCACATGAATCAGTTTACATTTGCAATTCATCACCATCAGCTCTCTTCTTTACCACCTCAAATAATGTAAAGCCAGTTGGGAACATTGTTTTTCCAGTCATTTACAAAACATCCCTGCAGCACTCCAGTGGTGACCTCCAGCCACCATGAGGGCTGCCCATTTACTCACATCCTCTCTCCTATCTTTGCACCAACTGTTTATTTATGACAGGGAACTCCCTTGTTATGTCAGGGGCTGCTCAGTTGAGGACTCCTCTTTAAAAGCTTCCTGAAATCTGAGTACAGACCATAAGCCAGACCACTCAACATGCTTATTTAGGCCTTCAGAGAATTCCAACTTTTTTTTTAAGGTGTGACTTCCATTACAAAAGTCACATTGGCTCCTCCCCACTGTAAAATATTTACACAGGTGTCCAATAATTCTACCCTGCTATACTGTCTACTAATTCAGGTGGCAGTGGTCAAACTTCCTTGGTCTGCAGCACACAGATTTCCCCTAGAATTCTCTTTAAAAAGTAGCGACACATTTGGTGCTCTCCAGTCCACAGGTATTACCTTTCAGTGAGAGGGGAGAGACCATCATTAGCAGCACTGTCCCTGGGGGCTTCATCTGGCTTGGCAACTTGTTCCTGCCTGTTGTCTATTTGTTCCGTAACATCTTACACAGACACTTCATTTTAAGCCAGATCCTTCAAAAAGTTCTCAGCAAGAAGGATTTCCATCCACCTTTCCTGTCTAGTCTAACCTACTAGTAACCAGAAGTAAGTTAATAATGTAGAGTTTTGTGGACAACAGTATGAGAAGCAGGCAAAAAAAAAAACCTTCTTGAAAGAAGACTGCAAGCAGCAGCTAATATCCCCTAAAGTCACACTGTCCACAGACAGACTGTGACACTATGTGCAAATCCTACTAATACCTCAAAAGCAGGTCAAAATGAATCGTTTCATTCACCTCACTGAATGCTGGGGATTGTCATTTTCTGCAAGACGTCCTTGCAATTCCAGTCCTCTCTCCTACTGCCTACTGGACATCTTGAGCTTTTTGGAATGAAAACTTACTCATCCTTCTGTAAAGAACAAGGAAGATAAAAATGAGGGAGAGTGATGAAAAATAATGAAAAACCCCAAAATCCTTCACAGCAAAATTATGCTTGGTTTTGGCTGACTCTCTTAAACCATTTTGTTTTGTTCTCTTCTGCCCCTGGCCAATATTCTAGCTGCTATTTTTAACTGAATGACAAACTTTCATATTAAATAAAAGAAACAAGTTAAATATAATACTGACAATGGATGTTAGCTAGCTCAGCCTTCTGAGATTTGAGTTAACCAAGCCAGCATTCAGTTAAACAAGGCAGCATTTAGAGGCCACAAATACTGATCAGGAAACAGACATAAGGATTCAAAATCATCTGCAGTTCAGGTCTTTTCTTTATATCTACATTATTTGTAGCAAATGTAGGATGAGTATACTGGGCTAATTACCCAAAAGCTGTAGGTCTTGTTTTTTCCCACCTATATGATGGCAGTGAGAATACTCTTGATTTGTAAAGCACATTGAAAGAGCTATATAAGGGGATACAGAACTAGTTACACTTCAGTCTTAGGTACCCATCTTAGACAATGACCCTAGAAAATACATTCCTTCCTCAATCTTAATATTGGATGAGAAACAATTTAGGTCAGGCATGGGGGTTTCACTCAATGACCAAAGATGTTTTACTAAAATCTCCATTAACACACTGACAAAAAGGAAAACTCAGGACTCAAATGCTCAAACAATGAACAATATCCACCAAAAGAGTTCCACTTAAAGAATTCCTGTTGAACTAC